TGGTAGTTACAGCTTGAATCACAGCTGATATTAAAACAAATTCATTTATAAAATAAACATCTTAAATAGAATCATAGAAATGTAGGACTGGAAGGGACCTTAATAGTAGTTCATCTAGCTCAGTTCCCTGCCCTGAATCAGGACTAAGTATTTCTAGACCATCCCTGACAGTATTTCTAGACCATAACCTGTTCTGAAAATCCTCCAGTGACAGAGATTCCACAACCGCCCTAGGTAATTTGTTCCAGTGCTTAACTACCTTGACAGTTAGGCAGCTCTTCCTAATGCCTACCCAAATCTCCCTTGCCACAATTTAAGTCCATTACTTCTTATCCTGTCCTCAGCGGTTGAGGAGAACAAATTTATCACCCTCCTCTTAACAACGATTTTTTACATACTTGAAGACTGTTATGTCCCCTGCTCTCTGGCTTCTCTTCTCCAGAAGAAACAAACCCAGTTTTTTCAATCTTTCCTTGTATGTCATGTTTTATAGACCTTTTATCATTTTTGTTGCTGTCCTCTGGACTTTCTCCAATTTGTCCACATCTTTCCCAAAGGGCAGTACCCAGAACTGAACATAATACTCCAGTTGAGACGTTAGCAGTGCTGAGTAGAGTGGAAAGATTACTTCTTGGGTCTTGGTTAAAACACTCCTGATAAACATCCCAGAATGATGTTCACTTTTTTGCAACAGTGTTACCTTGTTCACTCATATTTAGCTTGTGATCCATTATAACCCCCAGATCCTTGTCAGCAGTACTCCTTCCTAGAAAGTCATTTACCATTTGTATTTGTGCCATTGATTATTTCTTCTTAACTGTAGTACTTTGCATTTTTCCTTATTGATTTTCATCCTATTTATTTCAGACCATTTCTCCAGTTAGTCAAGATCATTTTGAATTCTAATCCCATCCTCCAAAGCACTTGCAACCACTCCCAGCTTGGTATCATCTGCAAATTTTATAAGTATACTCTCTTTGCCATTGTCCAAATAATTTATGAAGACATTGAATAGAACCAGCCCCAGGTTTGCATGTGAAAATAGGAAATTAACTATATCCATTTTTCTTGGACATTCTGGGCACTCATTTTTGATAAAATATCTGAAACATAAATAGCTGCTAAATAACATTGTGGCAGATTTTCCCATGCTGTTGGAATAATATAACACAACAGTAGCAGCTAACATTTCTCCATAGCTCTAAGTATGGTGTGACTATCATAATACTGTAATAACTTGTGGGGATTTGTCATTTTATCACCGTTTTATAAACCTGGAAATGTAGGCTTGTGTAAGTGATAGACACAAAATTAGAGAGACAAGGTAGGTAATATTTTATTGGACCAACTTCTGTTGGAAGAAGGTACAAGCTTTCAAGCTGCATAAGGCTCTTCTTCAGGTCTGGGGAAGGAAGCAGACTTTTCCCTGACCTGAAGAAGAGCTCTGTGTAGCTTGAAAGCTTGTACCTTCTTCCAACAGAAGTTGGTCCAATAAAAGATATTACCTCACCTACCTTGTCTTTCTCATATCCTGACCATTTACAACACAGCTAAAAACACAGCAGACAGAAAACTAGACAGATGTGTGAGTAATGACGAGAGATACATTTTCCTACAAATTTTCCTACATTCCTCCTAGGCAACATAACCCAAAAAGTCTTCCATTCTTTAGTTAACCTCATACTCTGCTGTACAAAAATCTGATCTCCAGTAATTTTTTTAAAGAAACAGGACATGAATAGGAAACTATTAGAATTGTTGATCGGGTTTGGGAAAAAGCATATGAAAAATCATTTTCATAATTTGTCAGCACAACTCTTACCCCATTTTCCTGATACTGTAAGTCCTCACCACGGATGACATTTCCGTTCAAAACAAAAGCATTAGGTCTTGAAGTCACACCAAGAACCTGAACTGTGTTGTATATCAGAGAATCAACTCCACGGTAGCCATTTTTAACAATCTTTGTCCTCATTTGGCCCTATAATAATTCAGAAGAAGGACTTTTAGATTAATAGTAACTTGTTGGAAATTATTTGAATACTTTTTCTATTGTTGTATCTCATTGTTTTACTCCATACATAAAGTATACAAATTTTAAAAATAGAAAGGTGAAGAATTGTAATAGTGGACACATTCGGTTTCATATAGAATAAGATTTTGCATATAATTAAAAACCAGCAAAATAAGAAACAAAATAAATATTTACAGTACATATATGTAATCTTCTTGCACCTCGTTGTGTTATTTTTGTAGCACTGATTCTAATACCCCACTCAGATATTACATTGGCAGGTGCAGTACCAGAATCTAGACAAGTAGTTTAAGGCAAGTGTAGCAGTTATTTACAATATACATGAACTGTTTTCCAGTGAAAGTTTTCTGTGTACATTTGGTAGCATATATTTAATCTGATATTTTTATTATCATAATAGTGCAACTTCTGCTACAAACCTTTTAGTCATCATATTTCACAACTTTGAAGACATTGAGGAACCCTATAGTTTCTAGGGAGCTGTGTTTCCTAGACTTGTAATATTGTATACTTGTAACCAAGAAGGCTTTAAACTACTTAAATGAAAATATAAATTTTGCGGACTAACTCTGAAGTCCTTACTTGGGCAAAACTCCTTAATGAGTCCCGAGGAAGTGCTGCAGGATCAAGACCTGTATTTGTAAGTAAATATTTTGACAATTGAAAGTAGAGAGAAAGTTTGTTTTTATTTTTATAAATGTTCCATTAGAATTAGATGAGATGGAATTATGCATCAGTAGTGTCTTATATATATAGGAATATAAAGCATACACTGAGGGCTCTCATATGTTTTAATGTCACACATCAGTCATACATTTGTAATGTAGAATGACTTTTTTTTTTTACTTCAATATACTGGTAATAAAAACTTGACATTGGAGGTTACCAGAATACAGAGAGGGATTTCAGACAAAATCAAATATGAGCAATGAGAAATGGAAGCATCACTAAGTCAACAATCATATTTGCACAAATCCCAATTTAATATAAAACTGTTTGCTCTTTTTCTGTAGTCTGCCTACAGTAAATTGCTAAATACAGAATACAGAAAACTGAAGTAATTTTTTTCGTCTTTTACACCCAGTGAAAATGCCATTTTTCTTAAGACAACAAGATAAAAGAAGTGGAATTGTTCTCAGTGCATTCAGAGAAAAAAGAATTAGATAATGAACCTTAAACGCTGGGCAGCATTTGCTGTAATACACAAGGAAAGAGCTGATCCCACTCTATTTACAAAAATACCCATCAATTTATTATAATCTGCTATTACTATTAGAAGGAATAATTCTAAGAACAGTATCACCCTTGCAAATTAAATATAATTTAATTCCTCCAAGTAACTTCTACTGATGGCAAACTTTGGGGAATGTATGATCTGAAAACCATTCACAATGTAGATTCAAGTAGAGGCTAGGTTATTTTCCCCATTTTCTGAATTATTTAAGTCTTCACCAATATATGTGGTTTGTCTTAAATATTTCCTCCTAGAAACTGAATTATAGATATGTAATGGGGTTTACAAACTACATATTGAGCATGGGCAGAAGGGAAAGGAGAATCTTTCCTCCTTATAATCAAACAGGTTGATCACGCCCACCCCCCAGAAACTCAATAGGTGCCAGAACTGCCAATCATGGAGACAGGCAACCAGAGCTGGGACGAATAGAGAAAATAAGACCTGCTATAAAGGTGAGAGACCAAAGAAAGAGAAGGAGGCAGAAAGGACTGACATAGCAAAGGGGCAACAGCCCTGTGCCAGGCTGCCTCTGAGAAAGCAACCAGGAGACAGGAAGAGATTGCAAGCCCTGGACTTGAAATGCTCATAGGCTCCATTTTTAAACACAGTGAGACTGAGCCTTTGCTTCTAGAGCTGCATGTATCAGCATTTCAGACACTAAATGGTTCTCAGAAAGATTTAGTGGAAAACCATTCACAAGAACAATCACAGTGCAGGGAGTACTGAATAGATGACAGCATGGAACTCGCTGAGTTTCCGACTGCACCCGCATGGGAAAGAAGGTTAAAAAGATGCAGACATCTCCTGCAGGTCAGAGTAACACCTCCTTTCACCCAGCAGCCAGAAGTAAGCAGGTGGATGTGGGGAAGGAGATTGCCTGCCTCCCTCCCAGCAGCTGTGGCTGGGGAAAAAGGTGCTGGGGGAAAAGGAGGAGAGGTGAAAAATGTATTGTCAGGGTCATCTCATGATGTCCAATCAATACACTATATATCCTGGTGGCACGACATGACACAAATATGGCAATGCACTATAACAATGTGATTATTTTGTAGCTGTCTCTAATTTTGTTTGACAAAGTGGCTCACCAACTTCAGATGTGGAATATCAAAGTTATTCAAAGATAAGTAACAAAATACTTGTTGCTACTTACTTCACTGAATGTATATTTGGCCAAGAAATAGACTTCCTTTTCGATAGAATCTGTCAAAACACAGGATTCATGATATTAAGATATACAGAGTTGAATTTTGTAGTAGCCAGCAAATAAGAACAGACAGACTTTTGGGCTGACCGTTCAAATGCTACCGATACATCTTCAGTTCTTCTGCAATAATCTAAGGTAATTTCATAGGAAGTTGAAACCTAATTACTATCTTTTTATTCCTGATGTGCTTGTTCTGATCTCACACCTGTGTTATATGAGTGTAGTGCCATTGACTTCAGTAGCATCACTCATGATTTGCACCAGTGTAAGATCAGGATCAATTTTCCTGTCACTTACACCAATATAAATCAGGAGTAACTCCAGCTAAATCAATGGAGTCACACTGGTGAAAAATTGATATGAGGACAGTCAGGCCCCCTGACTGTTTTGCAGTAGCATGACAAACATACCAATAGAATCACCATCATCCCAGAAGAGGGACCCAGAGGCTTCTCCTTGTTCATCCAGAGCAATTATAAGTCCAAATGGATTCAGACGGCTGATGAGAAATTCAATGAGAAGGATCAATCAATATGGAGGTACTTTTTCTCCTCCTCAAAGTTCACAGTAAAACTAGAAATGTTGTAATTTCTACAAATTATTAAATCAGATTTTACAACAATAAAAAGAGACCAGAATGTCCACATGCTCACAGAGATGGATCCTTTGCTGGAGCTGAGGATGAAGACGACACCAGGTATCCTTCTGTGATGGAGGGGACCTCTCTCAGAAACACTGCTGAGGACAAAACCCTCCCTACTTTGGCTGCTTTGATGTGCCAGTTATCAGGTAGCCTGAGGGATGACTTTGCTCCCCAAGGCTCAGTTTGGCTGCTGCATCGTGTGTTGTGGTGTGTACCAGTTTCCTGTCCCACCTGGTCTTTATATTGGCTTTTGAGTGTTTCAGGCATGGTCAAATATTTCTTGGTCTGTGTTTGTCTGCAACTACCATTTTGCTTTGGTTATATGCAAGCCACCTCTTGGTATTAGGTAGAAATTTTCCCCTACAACTGACTGGCTGAGCAGTTAGGGCCTTTCTACTTTCCCCAGAGTATTTGGTAGTTCCAGGTAACAGTGGAGTGGAGATCTAAAGTTTACCCTTTTGCCACATATTTATTGAAAATATGAAGTAACTGGCCGGCCAATGCAGCAGAGGCATTTGACTTTCTAGTCCCAACTGCCAGACTGGGAGTAGGTTTTGGCTGGATCCTGCACTGGTAGGTCAAGATGGTGGAAAGCTTCTAGGTCAGTGGTTCTCAAACTTTTTATTAAAGCCACTCACCAACTGCATTTTGTCTTTTTTTTTTTTTTTTTGCAATGCACAATTACATATAAGCACCTTCTGCCCTGGCACTGCAACCCTAATCCCCACCTGGTGTGGAGGATTGCCCACAGCAAGGTGGGTAGAAAGTAAGCTCACCCTGCACTCACCCCACAGTGGTGGCTCTGTCTCATAGAGCTGGCTCCCCATTCTAGGTTTAGCCTGGCCACCTCTATGTCATGACATCCAGCCCTTGATATGGTGACTCATCTAGAAACTTCCCATGACCCACTACTAGGTTGGGATCCACCATTTGGGAAATACTGTTCTAGATGATTTACAGACTGGGGAACCCCTTGTGTGGGCCCTCATACAACACAAGAACAACTGGTGGGATAAAGACTTAATCCCCTGTTGTACCAGGAGTTGGCCAAGTGTAGTTTCCCTTATTTGCAATATACTTTGATTGCCATCTAGCCATGCCACACTGGACTATTTAATTGCCAGGTTGATTGCTTGCTAGCCTTATATGTCACCAGTGTACGCCGACTTAAGAAAAGTTGTACCCATTGCTCACCACGCTCATCATGTGTGTCTGTTTTTATCCCCATTGGTGTCCAAGCATATAAACTTGGTTTGAAAATAAATGATTTCAGCTGGAGATTCCAAAAGATATGGTCAAATGCTTAAACTAAAATGTAAACTTTACATAGGAGGGGTTTCTCTCTTATTACTAATTAATATTTTGTTTATTTGAAGGATTTCAGCATGACAAGAATAAAGATATCTACTCCTTTCCCCTGCAGAATCCCTGAACAGGAAAATGTGGTATATCCTTTTGAAATAAATATATTATTCTATGGTAGTTACCTCAGAGTAGTCGTTGTGGCTGGCGCTTGGGTTGGCAGAATGTAACCTCCACGGAGAAAGAGTGGGATCTTGCCCAATGGGGCATCAACACTAACATATTTTCTGTGCCAGGAAGCTGGCACTTCATCACCCTACCACAGAAACAAATACAGTTCAAAGCTCTTTATTTTAAATCCAGATATCATCATTAATTACCATGTAAAACGGATCTGGATTTACACTGATGTAAGTAAGATAAGAACCTCCCCCAGAATAAAACCTTGGAATTCAGTGGCATTTCTTCAGATTTACATCAGTATCTAACAGAATCTGGACTTTGAAGTTATGCATAAGTGGTACACCAAGGACAGAAAAATCATGAATAAGATACAGTGAATCATCTTAAAAATTGTGTAATTGTTCAGTAACTTGTGAAAAGCTTGTGAATAGTCTCTAAGCAGAAAGCGAGAGAGTCTTGTTAACCTTTCTAGGTATATGGAAGCTGTTACATTTCAGTTTTGTGGTAAGAAATTTATAGTCATTTGGAATGAAAACTTTGTTAAATTTTCTTCAGTCTTTGAGGCAAAACGGTACCATAGTAATTCAAGAACACCATGGCTCTTTGTCTAGAAAAAGTCCATTTGGAATGCTGGTGCAAAGATCATTGTCCTAGCCCATCACTGTGACCACATCACCCCTCTCTTTCTATCTATTCATGGGCTTCCTCTTCTCTACCGTATCAAATATAAGATATTTATCTTCACTTTCAAGTATCTTGATGACCTACCCCCCACCCTTCTTATCTTTCATTCTATACTGGAAAGTTGTCTCCTGCCACTGATTGTCCCATGATGCCAGCCTCCATTGCCTTTTTGCTTTCTCCCATGCTTTGGCATAGTTCCCTGAAAATATCAGCAAAACCAATTTATTTTCCTCCAACACTCTCCTTAAAACTTTAAGTGCTGCCATAACAGTCAGCTGAGATGTGGAGCCCCCTGGTGTGAGGTGCTGGAAGTTGAGAAATAGAATTGTTTGAATACTTTTGCTTGGTTTGCTGATAGTTTGAAAACAAATACACACACAGAAAGTAAAAAGAAAAAAAAGTCAATCAGAAACAAATTATTAAGAAAACTCCAAACCAAAAAATGAAAACAAAATTTCATTTGGGGTTAATGTAAATGTTTTGTTGGACCTGAAATTAAACAGTTTGATTTTGAGCTTTAACTTTTTTTTTTATAAAGTTAAATAAAATTGAAGGAAATTTCTAAACAAAAAAAACCCAAACATTTCAAATCAAATTGAAAATGTCAAAATGAAACAGGATTTTTTAGGATTTGCTTAAAAAAACATGCAGTTTGGTGAAAATGACATGTTTTTAAATGCAGATTCAGTGACACTGAAATGTTTTTCACAAAAAAAAAAGGGCAGTTGGGCTAAAAAATTTCACCCAGTTCTATTAAGAGGTGAAGTTACCAATGTGACCTGAAGGCTGACTCCTGAAGGACTGAGTCCTTACTGAAGGAGAAAGGGGAGAAATAACTTAGACCCTCATCCTGGAGCCACTGGCTGAATGTGGAAAAATTCACCTACAAAAAAAGGCGCCAAATGATGATTCTATAAGAATAAAAATGTTTATGGTTCCAGGCTACTAACATTTTTCTTCTTTCCCTTCCCATATTCGTAACTGCTCAGGATAGTTAACATTAACCTTAAACTTCTGGGGTGGAATTTTCAAAGGTGTTCAGCATTGGCCTAAGTCTTCTCTTATTGAAGTCAAAATGCGTTTCACCATTGACTGTAGTAAGAGCAGAGGTAGGCATTGGTGAATTGGAGCCGCTTCACACCAGTTCGTGTGAACCGGTTAAATTTTGAAGCCGGTTTAGAACCGGTTGTTAAAGGGGTGGGCAAACTCCGGCCGGTGGGACCGTCCTGCCCGGCCTGCCTGAGCTCTCGGCTGGGGAGGCTCCCCTGAGAATCCCTTTTTAATTTTTACTCATCCGGCAGCGCTCCGGGTCTTCGGCGGCGGGTCCTTCAGTGCCGCCGAAGAACCAGAGTGACTGAAGGAACTGGTTCTTCAGCTTTTGGCAGCTCATCACTGGAGGTAGGCTAGTTCAAAGCACTTTTGAAAATTCAACCCTTAGGCAATGGAACTATTTATACAGTAATAGAAGCTCTCGAGCAAACACTAAACATTTTCAAGACCCAAGATAGGTGGTTGGCTGGAATGGATTTGATTGCTTGTTTGTGTTTTGTAACTTGGATTGTTCCACACTTCTCTGGGACAATTTTTCAAAGAGGCCTCAGCCTCATAGGTCAGATTGCCCTCCACAGTTTTTTATACCAAAATTGTTGTGGTGTGCAAAGTTTTGTATTACTGTGTACAATCTGCAGTCAGATGTGCAAATCAGATAAATATATATCCACCTGATTTGTATGCATGAAAGCAGTATAGCATGCAAATGAAACTTATGAATGCAAATAAAAATAGAAACCCTGACAATTGTAGGCATGATTTTATAGGCTGCTCTTGAAAATTCAGCCCTCTGTGTCTTAGTGCTGTATAAACCAAAAGTAGAAAATAAAATGCTCCTGAAAGCTGGGTAATTTTCTTGCTCAAGTAGCCAATCTGGTGCAGAAGGTTTTTTTTTTCTTCTGGATTTCTTCACCACAGATGCTTTGGAAAAAGATACTCCTGAGCAATGCTAAAAATTTATTTTACTTAGACTGTAACGTTTTAAATTATGTTCAAACTGTAAGAAATTGTAAGCTTTTAAAATACATACTGTATAGTAGTCAAACCAGGATGCTTCCGGGAAATATACATCCACTGATCTTGCTCCCTGTAATTGTAAAAGTAGTTAAACTATTTTTCCACATTTTTGACAGTATATTGCTAAATTATTTTTTTTTGTTTTGTGCTTAAGTATCTGTATATTCAATATCCCTTTAAGGTAAAATCTTGGATATTAATAAATGTTACTACTGTGGCAATATACTAGATTTCACTAATCTAACAGTGCTTGACAGCTGCCTGCATCATGCTGAATTTGGCTCATTGCAGGTATATTGGATGAGTCCATGACACTGCCAGATTAATTATTTTAGCCCAGTATCCATGCTGCAGGCCCCAATACAGCAAACACCAATGTATATGACTTCAATGGGACTAATCCCATGCTTAGAAGTTTCACACATGTGTCAATGCCTTCAGGATCAGGGCCTTAGATTGGATAATGGAGTGAGGTTACACAGATGTTGATGGCACTACTTGAGGGGAAAGGCCTCCTTATAAGGGGTAGGTATGAGACACACAGTTTGGAATGCTTGACTCCTCCCAGGGGGAAGTGACAGGAGGCAAGGTTACATACATCTCTCTGCCTAGGACTCTTCTTTACAATATTTTACAGTGTCATTATAATAGGTAATTTATTGCTAACTGCACAATTACTAGTTTATATTTGGTGACACATTTATTATTGAGTTTCAGAGAAAAAGTCATGTTAATTCTAAAAGTGCTTAGTATAGGATTACTCTGGAAAAAGTTTGAATCAAAAGAAGTACGTTCCATACGTTCTTGGATCAAAATAGATTGTTATTCTTGTGTATAAAATCCCCTAGACTCTCCACGTGCACATCTCCCCTTTCCATGCAGAAGCAGGGCTCAGCTGCCAGGGAACAGGTGGACAATGGGAGCAAGAGGCGGCATGGATGGTCCTAGCCAACCACAGATCCATTAATTTGGGGTAGGAATCTATGGTTTTTCCTCCCATGGGAAGATTTTTTGTTCCTAGAGTCTCTTTTCATGGGTTTTTAAAGCAGGAGGAGATGATCTGGCCCATTACTTACAAAGTAATCTGCAGAAACATGCAATTACCATGAAGACATGTGAGTGTATCTTGAAAATTTTACATCACATATGGGAATAAGCACATATTGCACAGATAGATGAACGTATAATTTGAAGTGCCTGGCCTATTTAACTGAGTACAAAATAAATAGTGTAGTGGTGACTGGAAATCTGTCGATAGAATGGGACTATGACAAAGTCACCCATCTGAAATGTTTAATGGAAAACTCTTGAAGTTGCCATCATGCCTGGGCAAATGTAAACAAATTGAAGGAATGTCTAAGAATATATTGCTTTATTAAAGCACGAAAGTCTTCAGTTAGACATAAGAATTAATATACTGGATCAGAACTAAAATCCCGCTACTCTAGTCTTCTGTCTGACAGTGGCGGTGACCAGATCCTTTACCAAAAAAAAAAATGCAATAATCCCACAGTAAGCAGCTACATGGCAATCTGACCCTCCCCAGGTTTCATCCTGATCTCATAATTAGAGATTGCCTTAAATCCTGAACCATGAGATTCAATACCCCTTCCAAAATACCTTTTTGATTCTTGTTAAGTTCTTGACCTCAATAACTTTCTGAATCTAATCATGCATTGTATGAAAACATATTTCCTTTATCAGTGATTAAATTAATATGAATGTTATTAAAGGTCCCTTTGTTTGTGTGTTATGAGATAGGGAGAACAGAAGTCCCTGATCTGCCTTCTCTAGACCATTCACCATTTTATGTACTTTTATCATATCGATCTTCTCTCCAAGATAAACAATCCTAGTTTTTTCGCTGTCTCTTCATCTGAGAGTTTTTCCCAGGCCCCTGATCATGCTTGTCACCCTTCTCTGAACTCTCTGTGAACTCCCCCAGTTAGTTGTTAGCTGTTAAGAATATAGGGGATATTTGAAAATGAAGGACTCCAAGAAGGCTCAGAAAGCAATCTCCCCCGGTGGTAAAAATTATTTGATACACAGGAATAATAAAGCTTATGCTCAAATAAATTGGTTAGTCTCTAAGGTGCCACAAGTACTCCTTTTCTTTTTGCGAATACAGACTAACACGGCTGTTACTCTGAAACAGGAATAATAATTTCTCTTTGAACTTCAGAGGCACAAGTTTAAGATAAAAATATGTGACAAACAGCAGCCTGTTTGGGGCTAGACCTACAAAGGGGACTTAGATTCAGTTTTGAAAGGCCTAATGTATTGGCATCCTGAAGCTGAGGGGATTCCACAGCCCTGAGTACAGCACCCAGGGTCCCTATAGAATGCATGGGGAGAGTTAGGTACCTAAGAATAAGATTCACAAAAGCCAGCAAGCTGAGTGGGGAGCCGCCTAATGCCGAGGAAAGGCATCCCAGGAAAGCGTTCTAACCACTGAACTATAACAATATAAAGGGGCCACTGCTGCCATAACCGCCTCTTTGTCCTCCTCCAGCTGTGCTTTGTGTGGGGCCCAATTCAGTGGGCAGCCTCTGAAAACGCCGGTTGGGTCAGGCCACACAGGCAAGATAGGCAGGGGAATGCCTCGGTCAAGAATTGTCTGGGGCATAGATGGCCAGCAGCTACATCCCAGAGGATCAGGATTTAGGTGGCTTTGTGTATCCCCACAGGCAGACATTTAAGTGCCCTGGGGCTTTCCTGGTGGAAATTTTGGTACCTGCAAAGTTAGGCAGCCACTTAGTGAAGGTTTTGAGGATCTAAATTTTTGAGTTAGCTACCTGAAGTGGCAGGTAAGTACCTAAATCCCTTTGTGCCTCTGATCATCAGTATTGGTAAAAAATGACATCGTTCACTCAGGTTCTAGTAACAGACTTATTCCAAACAGAAATTTACATTACTACAAATGTAACTATTCATAATGGCTCGACCCCTCTTCCCAGTGCTCACCCAGCCTTGCTGCTGAGTATCAAGGAAGTGGTAGTGTGGGGGGTGTCAAAGGGTGTGCCTGCCCTGTTGCATGGTCTACTGGCCAGCATGGCTCTGCTGAGGCCTGCCTCAATTTCCCCTTAACTTATGGCCCCTTAAGTCCAGATGTTCAAAACATTCCCCCTTCTGTGCTCCAATGTAGTAAGTCATGCATAGTCTTTCCAAAGAAAACTCAAACTTATTAAGTGTTTGTCCCAGTTTCAGATGGGCCCAGCTCCCCCTCCCTGAAGGTCTATCCTCTATTTAAAGGTTTATTTTTTTCACCCCAGTCCCAAGCTGGGCACAGCCCCTCCTCTCTCTGAGGGTCTGTCTTCCCCTCAGGGTTCAACCACCCTTCTGTTCCAGTTCCAAGCTAGGGACAGCCCTTCCTCCCTGAGATCCATCTTCCTGCCTCTGCCCCACTATTGTTTGGCCTTCTTCATGGGTCATCCCTAGTGGTATCTCCCGCCTGCTAATTCAGAGCCCTGCAGGAGCCTTCTTATTCCCTGCAGTGTCTGCAGCCATCTGCCAACAACCTGCAGCAGTCTCCCCTGTTTTAAAGCCCAGGTGCCCTCCATTAAGCCCCATTGGCAGCAGAGTCCAGGTGCAGACTCAGGATTGCAAGCAAACCCACTGTGCACCTGGTACTTCAGACTCAATGGTAGAAAAGAATCAGTGGTCCTAATGGCCTCACACAACAGGGGGAAATGCCCTGTGCATCCACAGGACAGTGGGTTTTTTTTAAACCAATCAGAAAGTAACTAACTAATGTTGTCATTAGAGAGACGAGGTGGGTGAGATAAAATCTTGTGTTGGACCAACTGCTGTTGGTGAGAGAGACAAGCTTTTGAGCTATATAGACTTGAAGAGCTCTGTGTGGCTCGAAGGCTTGTCTTTCTCACCAACAGCAGTTGGTCCAATACAAGATATTACCTCACCCACCTTGTCTCTCTAATATCCTGGGATCAAAATGGCTACAACTGTATATGAAATTGTCATTATCAGCTTAACAGAAGGACTTTGGTTTCATTTGGATTTGGTGTTGGGAAACCCCTAGCATATTCTTTCACAAGTTCCAATTCCAAGATTTTTTGGGCAGTTTTAATTTATAGTTTAACAGCTTTGTCCACAAGCTGGCAGTCATTCTATATCTGTTTCTCTGTCTTGGCTTTTCTTCTTCCTGCTTCCAAAATCTACAATCCCTTTACGGCTACAGACGGCACCCTTCAGGGACATCTGCAACATGAGACTCGGCAAGTAGGAGAATCCAGCCTGTGTACGTATAGTTGTACTTTCTGTACAGCTAGGTCTGTTTGTGAAACTGACTCCTCAGGGATTGAGAATGGATTAAAAAAGGGGATGATGAAGATAAATATACGATCACCCAGCCTGTGCTTTAAAGCCCTGAACAGTATTAATCTCTTTGGTTCCTATATTATAACATTTTAAAGTTAGAATACTTGCCTCTTGAAGAACTGGAGCAATCATAAAAGCTGGTCCCCAAAGGAAAGCTGTATCTATTCCATGAGTCTGCCGATCAGAAGTAAATCTAGTTTTGAAAGAAAGATACCCATTGTTAATTCAAATCTTTTTTTTTTTTTCAAAGACCTTGTGAAATATTTTGATCCTGTGATTTGCTCACTGCACCAACAGTCTCTGGTTTCCTACATTAGTGTGTTCCATCAATATCCAGATACCTTTTTCATGATTGATAGCAAGAAGTTTTGGTTTCTCATTTCCCAGCCTTTAGGATCAATAACTTAGACCTCATCCATACTGGCAATAATATATTGTTGACTGAAACATGATTTAAAACATAGTTCAACACAGTTTTCCTAGCCAACAGAGTCAAGTCACATCTATTTTACATGTATTAGAGTATACATGTAATCATGTATTTGTCTTTGTACTAGGCTGTTAACTAGCCTAGAATACGGTTTGAGACAAGTTTATACTCCAGGCAAACCATATTTAAACGTATTTCATGCTAACCATCTTTAAGAACAGTATAGCGAAAATAATTCCATTGCCACTATAAACAATGCCTTAGTGTGTAAACAGAAGAAAGTCTTTAGTTATCAAACCTGATTTCCTGAGGAGAGAATCTAGAATCTAGAGGGCTAACCCCGTACCAATGGCCCTGTGGAGAAGCAGGCTACTCAGCTTAGTTCACGGATACACACCATACCTGAAATGCCACCTCCAGACAAGACTTAGCCTGCTCAGACTGCCCCATTGGTAAGAAACATCCAGCTGTTCATCCTACTCCCTCAGTAAAGTACTAGCAGGGAGCCTAAAGCACTACTTTGGCGGCCACATGTTTGGATATCAGACTATTCTGGCCTCCTGGGAAGTACAGGCCTTTGGGGGGGATCAAAAGAGCCACTTGGTCTTCAACACTTACAAATGCCAATGGAACTCAGATCTGTCAGTCACCTGAGCAGAAGAGCAGCCTGGAGAAAATGCATGAAAAGATCCCTAAACCCTCATAAGGTGCAAGTATGAGATACATTATTTCTAAAACCTTCCTTCCTCATCAAGATCCAGACTCTCCAACTCCCTCCAAACTGTACCTCATAGAAATATTGATCAGTCTTTGCTGAACAACACTATTCCTCCAGCAGGCACAGAGCTGCTGGGGAACTCCTCCTGTAGCTATGCTACCTTCAGCATTCCTGAATTCATTGATCTGGATATTCAAGTGGAAGAGAACAGACACAGGGGTAGATTTTAAGTGGCAGGCTGAAACTTTATTAAAATGTAACATTGGAGAGGGGCACTATTCACCCATCTGTCGTGTTTGATACATTTTAGAATACCTCAAGCATAAAGACATTACTCCTCATCCAAGATAAACATCTGTGAATTCTAATATACACCTGGATCTGTTCCTGGCTGCTTATGGGACCAGTGCACTAACAGTGAAGGCATTGAAAAAGGGCAACACCAAATGCAGAGCATAGAGCATCCACTAACCCTGATAGACTCTATATGGTTATGGGATGTCTATCACCTTCTCTGCATGCATCACCTCTGCACTCATCCCTCCAATAATTTCCTTACCACAAATCCTCTACATGGGTCAGGGACTCCCACTAGTCTGCACTAAAAGGATAAACCAGTTGGGCAACCCAATGTAGTGGATGAAGCCAATCCACAGCGGGCTAAAGACAGAGCATATCAACCCACCTAATGTTTGGGGATGGGCCAATGACATTGGATACCTTCCCGAATTCTGTGAATTCAATGAGGTTGGCCAAGTAAGCCCTTAAATCATTGGGGCAAAAAGTATTTTCAGTTAATCCTGTAGCTAACCATAGTCATAGTTCCATAATGGGTGAGACATCACCTGTGGATTTGTGCTGGCACACAGTGCACATTTTTGGAATCTATTGTCCTGAAAACAAGTTAGAGCATCTACAATGCCATTTTCTACCCTGGCCACACACACATACACATATATGTAAAACAAAATGCCCTCACTAGTCTCATTACCCATGCCAACTTTGCTGACTGATGATTCGCTATGTGGACCACTGCCTGGTTGTCTAGTTGTCCCTTGGGGACCTCTTCTGCCCTTTCTCTCTGCAGACCAGCCACTTACATCTCTCTTTTATCATGGATGGAGTTAATGAGGTACATCTGCCATACAGAATCAGTAGAACTTCTGCAGGTTTATGCAAGTTTTAACACCAGCTGACAGTGTAGGTAAACAGAATAGCATTACCCCTGTTACATAGATCATGAAACTGATAGAGTAAAGAGCAATGGAGAGAGTCTTGGGGATCTGATATTTTCCAGTGAATACAAAGTTTCCCTCCTAAACTATTCATTTGCATGTGTTCATGATACTTTCTAGTGGTTAATCCAGAGTCTCATGACCCCATAGCTAAAGGAGCTCTTCCTTAGCTCAAGTGGAAGAGGCCTGTATTTTCAGTGTTTACAGTCCCAAGTTCTGTCTCCAGTAATGACTGTGGTGTCTGAATACAGACACACAAGGAGCATATTATTGTTGGAAAGTAATGTCTCCTTAATTGAAAATCAGGAGCTGATACACTGAGGAGGCTCATATATGTCCTTCCAGCAAAGGGTGCAGTGTTTTTCATGGCAAATCCATAAGAATGGCCAGACTGGGTCAGCCCAAAGGTCCATCTCACCCAGTGTCCTGTCTACTGACAGTGGCCAGTGCCAGGTGCCCCAGAGGGAATGAACAGAACAGGCAATCACCAAGTGATCCGTCCCCTGTTGCCCATTCCCAGCTTCTGGCCAAGAGGAGATGCCACTATATCCAGGTGGAAAAGAGAACTGCCCTCTCCTTGGAAGATGATGTAGCACACAAAGTCCTATTGCAGAATAACTGATGCTTCCCTGAGAGTACATTCAAGTATTTATGGCCTTCTCTGCAAGCCTTTCAATCTACATTGCCTAAATTAATTGACATTTGTCAAATGGCTGCAGAAACTGACCAAATCTCTGACTGCCAGACACAGAACTGGTATTACATAATTGATTCTTCATGCTGAAGATGTAACACTACTTAACTTTAAACACAGTCCTTTTACAGTAAATATTTTACACACCAGTCATCAGACAAAGAATAAAAGTAATTGCCTTAGCTACCTGTAAGACACAGTCTTATTTAGGTCTGGCTGGAAAACAAGAGTTCCATTTTGCAAAATAATTCAGGTTTCATCATTTGTTTTCAATCTGGATCAGAACAAGACCTAGACCTTTTGAATTATTTTTTGTTAAAGAGAAAAAAGGGGGAAAGGGGAGGGGCACACATCACAGGCAATGGTCCAGCTGACTAGCTGATTCATATTTAGTCAGGAAGGTAAAATGAGAGAGAGACAGAGAGACCTCAGAATACCACATAGCCCGGTCGTTGTGACGCTCACATGGGATGCAGGAGACTCTAAAGTTCCTGCTCTGAATCAGACAGAGCAAAAGTAAAGCATGAATGCCCAGTAATCACTGGGCTATTGAGTGTTCTGGGGTCTCGCTCTCATTTTGACCTTGTCTGAATATGGATCAGCATTTTCTAACAGAAAAATGTTTAATCAAAAAATTCCTGACTAGCTCTAATGGTGTCATCATTACCTTTAATGTCCTTCAGTTATTTTGAAATGTATATGACATTGCTAAAGTTTCCATACACTGACTTTATGTGGTTTTATTGCTTAGGAAAGGATTCTCTCAATGGTGTCTGTGTCATCATACCTCTATATGTGCATAGCACATTGTATCTGATCCTGAAGGAGTTCAGTATCTTAGTAATTCCAAAAGAACTGTGGCAATTGAAAAACAAAGGGAAATGTACCCAATGTTCTAGTTGTTAAAATAGTGGAGAGTTTGGGAGAGTATATTGAGTCAAAGGTTCATGTGCCTGAGGACTTGCTCCAGGCTCTACCTAATTGGGTGTGTGACAGAAAACTTTCAGTAAGAAACTTTGCTTGATAAAGATATTTATATTCTTATAAAAATTTGAACGTGTTGCAAGAAGAAGGGATTTAAGAAGGGAACCCATTTATTTTTCTTCCTGCAACAGTCCCACTACCTCAGACATATATGAAATAACAAGCTATAATTTGATTTTTTAACAGGGTGTTTATAAAGGTGATCGCTTCAACAGACTGAAAACAAACAACACAGGTTATATGTTTAGGGCTTTGCAGAGTGTATGTCAGGAGATCATCATACACCAGGATTTTTGATTTTTAAATCTGTTTTTGATATCTGAGTTTATGTATTATAACCAATCCCAGTTTCATCCTTTGTAAAAGTTCAGAGTTTTCTGAATTGTCTGGCTGTTAAAATAGCTAAGATTTTTGGTTGTTTTTAAAGGCTTACCCTAATAAGTTTGTTTCTTTTAAATTCTCTTAATTCTAACCTCAAAAGCTTTTCACTGATTCAACAAGTTTTCTTTACTCTTGATTTAGCTGTAATAATATTAATACAAAGATAAAAATATCCTATGCAAGGGTGAGAGTAAGTGGGAAATCATAGGGAAGCAAATGTATCCAAAGGAGAAGATGAAAGTGTTTATGTTTATGTATTTGATTTGCACATACAAATACCAGTTATATGTCTAATTGGCTGTTTGTACATACAAACACCACAGCTGATCTTGCAATCATGAGCATAAATTAGGCATGCAAATGAACTGACTCATGTCGAAAATGCAGGCCCTTCTACTCATGCCCCAATCTACTGTGTTTCTCATAGTCTATGAAAGCTAGTTAGCCTATACACATTTCCCACTGTTTGATGTTGTCCCACTTTTCCTTTTTTAAAGATATTAACCAAGTCTTGAATCTTAACATGCACATATGGTGTAGTCTTTAAAGCTGTTTGTCATAGACCATCACTTCAAGTCCTTTTCTAGCTGTGGAGCTATTGAATTCTTTTATTATTTCATTGCCTCAGTGTGAGGCACTAAAACACAAAGCAGAATCCAACAGGCCACAGTTGTTGTATGTTATTTGCAACGACCACATGGCCAGATTCCATCATTGGAGATTTTTCAGCGCAAGCTGGACAAACACCTGTCAGGGATAGTCTAGAAAATACGTAGTCCTGCCATGAGTGCAGGGGACTGGACTAGAGGACCTCTCGAGCTCCCTTCTAGTTCCATGATTCTAAAACTATTATTGGGAGGACATCTTTAAAAACACAACTTTCACAGTAAGTCTTTGTGAACTAATAAGATACCAAAAGAAAACACGCAGATTTCAGTTTTCTCTTCTATAAAGAAGAAAAATATCAAGTAAAATCCTACAATATCACCCTTAATGATTCCATTTAATTTCTCAAGAAATATCAGATCAAATGCATAGAACTTTTTTGTGCTACAAACATCTAAGTAGCTTTAGAAACTTGATTAATTCTACTGAAGCAATGAGACTGCTTTCAAATGCAAGCACTATGCCCAGTAATAAGTGACTGCAAGATCTGGCCTTGAAGTATTGATAGCAGAAGTGGAGAATAGATAGGACTACAAACTTCACATCACTGAAGACTACATGAGGGATTCTTTTATTAATGTGCATTAAATCACTGCTATTTACCCTTGATATGAATATCCAAAGAGTCCTAATGGTAAAAAGTATGGACAGAAACACTGTTAAGCAGAAATATTAAAAATAAATATTTGAAACATCATACGACCCATTCTATTAAACAAACACCTGGGAACTTTCCTCAATTGTTATTTATTTAAGGAGGCGGGAATATTGCTTTTAAAGTAAAATCTAAGTTAAATGTTACATGAACGATGCAAAATATTTGTACTGTTTTACTGTAAACTTCTCTTGTTAAGGCAGAGGGATACAATTTTATCATTATTATTATTATCATCAAAATAAATATAAAATAATTGTTACACTGGATCTGCAATAAATATGAATACAATATGACAGATAGGAAAGAGACTGATAGCTTACTCATGCATTAATCCTCGCACCACTGTGTTTCCATGGACATGAGAGTCAAAGAATAAGGTGTACAAATAAGGCAACAGCGTGTATCTAATCAATAGTGTAGACCGAGCTATCTCAGCAAATTCTGCTCCAAACACTGCAGGGTCTTGCTCCTACCAAAGAAAAAGTTATTTGTTTTGTATTTAAGTTTACAAATATGCAATTATTACAAAGAAAGTAGCCTGTCATAATTTAAGAAAAGCTTCTATTGACATGAACAGTCTACAGCTGAATGCTTAGAGTAAAAAAAAAAAAAACCCTAGACTAATAGTATAGAAAATAAGAAGAATCCAGTCTTAAACTGATTTAGAAACCTTTTATTCCTAAATATATCTGTGAACGTCATAAGCCATGGACTTGATCCTTAGCGGTGCTGAGCACCCGCAATTGCCCTAAAGGTCACTAAAGTCATTGAGAGTTGTAGATTTTTAGGTCCTCTCAGGATCAGACTCTGTATATTTAGAAATCATTTCACCACTGAAATGCAGCTACCTCTGGGGTAGAATGTGGAAGATAAATGGAAAATGGATACTCAATATGCTGCCAAACAGAGGGAAGAGGGAAATTCTTTTGGCCAAGACCATAGAGACAAACCTGTATGAAAAGTACTTTGTGATTTTATGGCCTTTGGGTGAAATTGTGGCCCCCCTGAAGTTAGTAGCAAAACTCCCATTGAATTCAATGGGCCAAGATTTCATACTTATTTTTAAGAGGTCTCAACTTGGTTTGTTACTCTGCACTACAATTTTTGGATGCAAATAAATGCAGACCAAATATTTTGGGGACACGCTTAATTGAACCTAGACATCTACCTACCTGATTTCAAATACTACTAGATAGTTAGTCTTAATGACATCAATTATGCTTACAAATATTTGTGCATATAATTCTTAGGGCACAATAGGATAGGCCATTACTAAAAGCCAGGTTGTGATTTGAAAGCAGTGCAGGAAATTTAGCTACACATTTTCCAGCAAAATTAATCGAAAATGTGTTCAGTCCCCTGCCCTACTTTAAAAAGCTCAACCCTCATTCCTAAAATCTATACACAGAAGACAGGACTTCTATTTTTAAGGTTTTGTCAAAAAGACCCTCACTAGAAACTGTATGGCCTCCTCAGAAGGAGAAAGAGCAGATTCAAAAATTCACTGGATATTGTTGACCTGTTGTATTCAGTGGATTCACTCTGCTATTTATTGAAGTTCATAGAAACTATGGACTGAGATCATGAAAAGGAGTTGTAAGACTCCATATCTGTTTTAAAAATTTCTCCTTAAATGAGTCAGTTTCTCTTTAAAATACTGCATTATGAATTCCTGGAATAATGAAACATAAAAGGAACAGAAATAAGAAAATTTTGCTTTTATATTATCTAGTGTTTTTCAGGCAAGCATATTATTAAGCCATGCAACATCCCTGTGAGTCAGACAAACCAGATGCTTAAGATCAAATTTTAATATTACACTTAAGGTTTTTTTTAGTTATTTTTACCCTCTTTTATACATACATCTGCATTAGTCAATAACCATGTTTCCTACTGGTTTCTAAGCTCTGGAATGCCAGCTACTTTTTAAAAGTGGAATATTTTTACCACTTGGACAGCCCTAGTGTACAAATATTGCCTAAATACAGTAAAAATAGTCAGTCGCTGAGTCACTCAAAGCTCCCTGCAAATTAGACTTTTACAAAAAATGAACAGAACTGTTTTATGATTTTTAACAGTATAAGAAAGAATTAATTCTAGTTGCTCAATTCACTTTTTCTTGAATTGGCAGGTAGTAATTTGAGGGTGTGGGGGGAACATCATGTGGGCCCTATTCTGCAGCCCTTACTAATGCCTTACTCCTCAAATGGATCCATCAACATAAGGATGACGGAATTGGGCCCTTGACCTACTTATTTATGAGTTGATAAGCTACAGCCTTCATGAAGAAAGCATTCATGTAGGCATATGTTTATGTTTCCATTGTATGCACTCATGTTTGACATGCAAATTAACTACCAACCTGTATGTAGACTACAAATATACTCTCATGTAGGTCAAACACAATTTTACATATTCATGCACAAATGGGTGCATGCACGAGCGCAAATCAGATAACTATAAATCTAAATACAGTGGACACCCTACACACAGAATATTTACCCACAGTAGTATCTGAAAAACCAGACATTTCCTATTCTAATTATAGGGAAATACTTTGATATTTCCTATGCCACTGGAAGTTAAATATGGGGGCAAGTCTTGACTTTTTAATAGCAACCATTGTGCCTGTTTCCATGTGCAATTGCCCAATTTTTAAAGGCACATACCCACTTGTGCAGGCAAATGTGAATGTTTGTGGGTGCCCCTGTTACATCTGCCTTTAAAAATCTGGCCTTGCAGCAAAATGAAAGTGAACGGTCACAACATGAACTCCATCTTTGCACATTTCATCTTACAAAAGTAAAAACAGCCTCTTGTAATAGCAGAATCTTTCTTGTTACAGCACAGTGGAGAAATATAATGTATATCCAAAGACCAGAGGACCTTCAACCTTTCAGCAGCTAGAAACAACATGATATTTCTTTCTAGCTGAGATAAGAGCTAGAATGAGTATATGGATACAGAGTTAGATTTGATCATGCGCTTTTTCAGTTATGAATTAAGTTTAGTTGTTTTTTTTCAGATTTCAATTATTCTAGGCTGAGTAACTGTTGTTTCTACTGCTACTGTCCTTGAAGTTTCTAATGTATAAGAAATATAATTTGTCTAAAATTTCTAATTATGATATATGTCTGAAGCTTAATTTAAGATAATGCAGGCTGTACCCTGTCTACCCCTTCCTGTAATGTATGTTAAAAGGTGAACATAAAAGCAGTTTAAAAACATTCTAAGCAAATAAAAGGATATCTTATATGTTCATATTTTAAAATTACAACCAAACAATAATTTATGGACAGGAGATAATTGCAAATCTGTTCCTCCTTCATTTGCCTTCAAATAATTGTTTCCCTGCAATACTTGATAACATCACTAACACCTAAAAGAGAACAGGAAACAAAAACTAGGGTGTTGGTAGGTAAATCATGGAGGAAGTGATTTTTATCTACATTTTTGTAATTGTAAACTGTGAACAAATTTATTTCTATGCAGCTTTGGGATATTAGACTTTTTTTTAAAGTTTCCATCCATTTTTAAATTATGGGAATGCATAACAATCCCTTCTGTGCGTGACATCTGATAGCACTGCACCATATAAAAGATTCCTCTTCACCCAACAAGGATTTACTCACAAAAATGCAGAATGATTTCTGAGAGTACAATTTAAATATTACAATGATGAATATGAAAATCAAGGGCTGCGGCATTTAGTAGCTTTGCTTTCTTACCATCTGGCCCTCTCCATTATGATTTCTGGAGAAAGGATAAAATGAACCCAGTTGCATCCATCGTAAGCAGAGTTCATAAGTTGTATCAAGGAGAAACCCACAGATATCAGCACCAATCTGAAGAAACATAATACTTAAATAAGTGCTCATGAGTGTAAGAGTTGCACAGTCAGGCCCTAAATCAATGTTACAGTGAATCCTGTTAATAAAGGTCAACAAAAGGACATTTTTCTGGTGATTTTATCAGGTGGTCCCACAATACAGTGTAATGAACATGGAAAAAAATTTGCAGGGACTGAGAATGTCAATATAGATTTGACTATATTTTAATAATTGTATTATTTCTTCAATTCAGCTTGCAAAATTAGAAATATAGTTTGGAATATGAATGATGAAACATATATCAGGAAGGAAATCTATTTTTGCTGGTGTAATGCAGACCCTGGTTTTGGGCAGGCAGGATCAAAGCTGGGACCTCTGGAGCTTAGTGCATGAGCTTCTACCACATGACCTAAAAGCCAACTGGCTGTTAGCTAAGGCTGTAGAGCAGACTCAATCGCTCTCTCTTTAAGTGGTCTTGGTGCCACTAGATGGGACAGAACACCACACCCAGAAGGTGTGTGGGTTACACTGGCACATCACACAATTGTTTCATATGAGAATCTTTGATTCTTCTTTAACTAGAAAAAATTGACAAAGTTAAATTTAATCAGCACCTGCTTGCCATATCAAGCATTTAATTTAAGCAAACATTTGGATTAATTTCAAACGGTATTATGTATGAAACAGTGAGAGCCTTTAGACAGACTTACATATGGAATCCCAAAGAGATTAAATTCCAACATTCCAATTATTGACATGTGCATATCTTTCCAGCGTGAAAAGTTGTCACCTAGCCAGTGACCGGAATATTTCCCACTTCCGACAAATGTAGAACGACTCAGAACGAATGCTCGCTTTCCAGTGGCCTTCTGAACAGCACTGGGAAAAAATGCATAAACATACAGTGAAGAAAACCCAGCAAAAGCAGTTTTCACATTATAAGCTTAATTCTGAAGTCCCCATATAGGCAAAATTTTTGTTAAGGTCAATGAGAGTTTTATCCATATAATAACTATTATTGTGGTCCGTTACATTCTTGAGTCATGTAAAATACAGAAATCAGTACTGCATCCTTGTAAAGAAAAATGACAACCATAAGTTGGTAAGAATGTATGTCATGATTGTCATGCAGATCATGGAATCCATGAAGTTTAGGGTCGTGTACTCATTCAGGTTCCTCATGAATCTGAATGTATGTGACTAAGAACATAAGAATCTCTCACGATTTGTATTTATGTTCTTCTGAGGCTTGGTTTTCCCTTAGAGAGCCATTTATCAGGTTGAAATAAAACTAGAGCAGGTCTTGTTGTGGAATTTCCACCATCCAGAAACTGAAACATACTATGAGAAGACCAGATCTCTCAATAGTTTGATACTCCAAAAGCTCCCCAAATTATTTAAAAAAAAAGGCCAGTGAGAAACATATACACACAAATACAAGGAAACGTACAAATACTGGAACTTGTGTCATCCCTACTTATATTCATGTTTTGTTTTAGTTTAAGATGTCCGTGTTGTTTGGAAATGTTGTGCAAATAAGTTAGCAAGTTAGTTGTGGGTGAGAGACTGAGTGAAAATGGGACAATGCTTAAATAAGCAGGTAAAGTGAGTTAGACTCATAGACTTTAAGGTCAGAAGGAACCATTGTGATCATCTAGTCTGACCTGCACATTGCAAACCACGAAACCTCACACACCCACTCCTGTAATAGACCCCTAACCTCTGGCTGAGTTACTGAAATCCTCAAATCAGAGTTTAAGGACTTAAAGTTAAAGAGAATTCACCTAGTTTAAACATGGAAGTGCACCGTTCTCCATGCTGCAGAGGAAGCTGGAAATCCTTCAGGGTCTCTGTCAATCTGATATGGGGGAAAATTCCTTCCCAACTCCAAATATGGTGATCAGTTAGACCCTGAGCATGTCCACACTACTTGAGCGTGCGTAGGTGTTGGATGAAAGTCCAGGTGACGAGTTGTCCAAATTTTACACCCAAAACAAACTATAGGACTGCACAGAAGGCTAATAGAGTGAGGTACTTGGCAAGAACACGGTCAGACAAAGAACCAGGCTGGTGAACTCACCATGAAGGCCCCCTGAAAACTCCGGACTATCAAGACTTGACAGGGCACTACATAAAGGAAAGAGGGTGGCTGCAAAGCAACACCTAAACTTTAAGACAGTACTCTTTTGAGGACACGGAAAGAGGAGGGAAATTAAAAATCTGGATGAACATGGAGACTTACAGAATGGGAAAGAAGGGACAGCAGTGGTTAAGTACCCAAAATATGAGGTGTCCCCAAAATATTTCATAAAGTTTCAAAGTCATTTCAAAAGTAGGGCAAAATTCTCTTCTCAGCTCCACACAGAAGTACTCAGCTCCAATATCTGCGGTCCTTACATGTACAGAACTCCTACTGAGATCAAAATTTATCTGCAATTATAGGAAGAGCGAAGAGTGAAACTGAGAAATATTATGCGAATCTCAGAGGAGAAATGTTGCCATAGTTTGTTACTGCAGAGTATGCCCCTGTCTTTTCATAATATTTATGATGACTTCTGATGTTATCAAGACTCCTCCCAAAATTACCATGTCTAATCTGTAGCCTTGACAATAAACTCTAATGTCTATATTCATATTGCTATTAGTAAGTCTGACACCCCTCTACATTTACATGGTTATCCAGTCTCATGTCTTTTCCCATAACATTCACAGTATAAAAATAATTGTACTACTTTGCTTTTAATATAGGAATTTGTTTATGTAGTACTATTAGATAATAAAGTATTAGAATATCAGGGTTGGAAGGGACCACAGGAGGTCATCTAGTCCAACCCCCTGCTCAAAGCAGGACCAATCCCCAATTTTTGCCCCAGATCCCTAAATGGTCCCCTCAAGGATTGAACTTACAACCCTGGGTTTACCAGGCCAATACTCAAACCCCTGAGCTATCCCTCCCCTCAACCCCTGAGTATTGCTTTGATGGCAAGTATAAAGCCAAATGGAAGTAACAAACAAGCACCAAATCAAACTATGAAAGAAATCTTGAGTTACGCTAAACAAAATGCATACTTCCTTTCACTGATTTCTCCCCATTTCCTGTCCTGGTAAAACACTGAAAGTTAGGAACCCAAATTCTATTCAATTTCACTTAGATTTGGGCACCTAACTCCTTATGCTCCCTGGAAAACTGCAGCCTAGATTATTAATGCTTTTGTGTATTATCCTCATCAGTTTCCCTTATTAATGAGATTTGCACAAAAGTGCTGTCACACACATTTATATAAGTGATCTAAGTATTTTACTGTACTAGCTCTTTAACTGGCATAGATTTTTCAAAATGTGTTATGTTGACATTTCTAGAACAAACTGATTGGTTTTCATACAAATAAACAAATAAATAAACATTAAGCTTATGCGCTAACCACTGCAAGGCGTGCAATGCCTGAAACACAATGGAATCGGTATGGTTCTGTAGTTCAAGGGGGCCAGTTGATGGAATGGCCACATAAAACAAGACTCCAGGTCTCTTTTAGAAGTAACATCCTGGAGCATTACTGGCAAAGAAATCTGCCTTCCCTAAACCTTAGTATAGGTCTCCTCAGATAATCCAGCTTTATGTTTGGGGCAAATTACTGCCCCACACTTGCAACACAGTGCTGAGTAGTAGTAATGGGTGGAAAACAATAAACTAGAGCTGGATGACTAGTTTGTAACAAACAATTTAACAAGTTTTACCACTTTGTGAGTCATCACAGAACCAAATCTGATTTTCTCAAATACATTTGTTTGAAGTTATTCTCAGAACATCATCTGTGGATAATTCTTGGGCTGTAAATTGTGTGAGAGCTGATTGTTGCAAGTATTCAGTATTCAAAAGCCATCCTATTTGACTGGAAACAGATCACATGACAGGTTTCTCTTACCTGATTGGATTTCTTAGAATCAGATTTTAGATACAAATACTCATGATTATTACTTTGTAATTCAATTTCTGCAAATATTCTGCAATATATGCAGTTTTGATAAACATTCCTGCCAGTAACATCATTTACTAGATTATTATTTGTGGAAAGTGAATGCAAAAGGGGCATGAACACAGCCATGGAAGACATTTGTTTTTAAAAAATCCAAATGAATATTCTCGGAATATTGTTTGCAGTATTTGCCCAGTTCTACTGCACACCCAGCTTCTGTTTTTAGATGCATTAGGAGCTACTTTATATTTTGAAAATGATTTTTCTGTCTTCAAGAATTCTTTGTGTTTGGTTGAATAAAATGTTTGTATTTCTCATGAATAGTGCTATTCTTCAGAAGCAGGAGGATGGCTGAGAAAGGCACTTTTGTGTGGTGCTATGTTTATGAAGCTGAAATAAAACAGATATGAAAAGGGCCAAAATTGACCTTTACTTTCTGTGTTAGGTCTGTACAGCTGACACAGCATGCAGAGCACACAGCCTTACTGTTTGCGATGGACTGCCTTGTGGGTGGCAGAATACTTGGTTATAAAGCCTCAGGGCAGTTTTTCAGATGTGGAGGTGGACTGAAGGATAGGCTCCTTTAATATCCTAAATACCAGGGTGTGAGATTGTGGGCCACATCTGAATTCTCTACCGAGCTCTCTCTGGCACAGAGACTGTGTATTCTTATGTGGTTGTACAGAAAGTAGCAGAATGATGGGGCCCACACTACCGTTAGTAAATACTAATGTTAAGACTGAGTAAAAACAACATAAGGACGCCAGGTTTTGGCTCTTTATTAATACAACAAAAAGAATTGTGTCTAACCTCAATTTGTACTGAAAACAAGCATGATGTGCCCATTTAATTTTTCTTTTTTGAGAGTCTAAAAAACATATCCAGCCTTTGAACTAACTCTAGTTTCATAGTGACAGATACCGTTAGTCTGAAATAGCTCAGCATTTTCCAGCTGCAAAAATGATAATTTTTACATTAACCTATAACTGCAGTGCAATGTAACTCCACCATTCAGAATGCCCTTTGGGTTTTCCTTACCACATCACAGACTTATGCCAAAAAAATAATATACTCTCCAGGCAAGTCAAGACATGTCCATGAAAAGAGGATTTTTGTTATCTTGGGAGTCTATATTTTTGATTCTTCCTCTAAAGTAATAAATACTCCTTTACATATGACATCATAATTAGCTGCTATGGGAAATGGTTGTGAAATCACTAGATCTGATTCTGTAGCTGTTGTGTGGGAGAACTTTCACAGAAGTCACTGAACTTCTCAGTTTAGTTTCACATGAGTAACAGCTGAAGAATTAGGCCCTATCAGAATTAGGCCCTTTCACTTTATCTGAAATAAATTAACATGACAGAAGCAAAGATTCTGATTCCTTGAAATTGTCCTTAGTACATAAAAAGCAAAGAGAACTAAACAGATATTTCTAAGTAGAGCCCATTTCAAAGTTTCCCATGTAACACCAGCTGTCCTTAAATTCTTGTTTAAACTGCATGTTTAGAAGGAGATACTTGATGACTTACACAAAAGTTGGTGGTGTCTGTGACCAGCCAAAGAGAGAATGTGTGTTATAATGATCCCCCAGATAAGTTTTTGAGTCTGGACATAATGTCTTCTGAGCCAGAGAGTAATCGATAATTCCTGAGAATGACATGTAAAGTTACAGAATTATTCAGATCAAATTTCAAACCTCTTCACAATTGTATTCAATGAAGAAATACTACAATATAGAACAAAATCCTGAAGATTTTAAAAGGAATAAAAGCTGAAGCACTGCAGGATCTATTCTTTTTAGATTGCTGTGTGTTTAAAGACAATAGTGACAAACCTTCTTCTAGATGGACATAGCATAGGGTTGACAACTTGGTAATATTTAAAACCAGACACTCCAGCAGGAGTGCCAGAACCTCCTCTGCTTTGCCTCTTCCCCCCAATGTCCCACTCCATTCACTCGTCTTCCCCCTACCCCCCCCCCCCCCCGTTGCTCGCTGCTTTTCCCCTCCCACCCACTGCCCACCCAGGTCAGGAGGGACTCACTTGCAAAGCCGGGTCTGGGAGCTGCAGGCGCCTGACCCAAGCTGAGTAGTGGCTGGCGCAGGTGATGACCCGGCACCTCCCTGCCTCCCCCGCCTCCAATAACCGGACTTTGGGTGTCCAGCCAGGACATCTGACCGGACACTGTCAGGTTCCCATTTTGATTAGACTTTCCAGTCGAAAACCAGGCACCTGGAAATGCCTAGATATATTATGTTCAAAGGGATGTTTCTATTGAGTAGGCTGTGTTAATGTAGTCCAGTTCTATGCCTAGAAAATCAGATCTTTTAGAAAGGTAATGTAGATTCAAATACTAACACACAAAAGGAAAAATCACTGAATCAATAATAATCCTACAGGGTGACACTTGTTTCCTATTGAGTGACAAACTTTAGTAAATTCCAGTGTCAAACAAAAATAAAAATGCAAAGGCACAAAGACCTTGCATAATTATTTGAAATCATGGGTCCTCAATTTGCATATCACTATCATTGTAGATGGCAATTAAGCAGTGTGACTTGTAAGGCCTCTGTGACAGAGTAAGAATTCATAACTAGGCTCAAATCCTGCCTCTCTTTCCCTGCAGCATGTCGGACTTAAAAGACAGTGGAGCTAGTGGAGCCCATGCTACTGTATGTTTGAAATTACTACAAAATGTAATCTCCAGTATCTAAAACCATATTAGCATGTCCTCTCTACTCTCCTTCTAGAGCTAGAATCTTTATGATTGGATCCTTTGACACAACAGGCTGTAAAGTCTCCATTGTGGCTGAATTGCATGTGGAATCATTTAATTTACAGTCAATTTCCAAGTAATTTGACAGACAATTCACTAGTTATGGCTAAGTGTAATATTCTGGTGATAAGTAAGTATCAGTTCTGTCCTGCATAAGAAACAAAGGGAAATGTAAAATAAAATTACCAAGACAGAATCCTATTATCATGATTCATTCTTATTTTAAATACTGCAAAGCCTCCTTGATTTCTGCCTCGATCATACAGCTTATTTTCACAATTGTATATTAATCCACAACTTAAGGGGTTTTTTATAGAAAATTACTTTTTAAGGGCCAGCTTTTCAATCTTCGGCCTCCATTTTTATGGGTTCAGATTACAGGAGCAAATAATTGTGGGTACAGTTGAGATAACAGTGGCTAAGTTTGTTATATGTGAATGCAAAGCAGCTTAGATATTTCAGTGACCTTATTTGTGGGTACAATTAATGCCAACAACAAAAGAGGCGTACTTAAGGTGACTATGGAAAGCCTTTAAGGGCTTGATCTTTGAAATCAGTGGGGAGATTGGCCTGGGTAGCAGTGGTAGGATCTGTGTGTAATAGTTAAGTTCAACAAACTCCTACAAATAGAGGAGCAGGGTGAGAATCTTCTTGATATTTCCAGTTTAAAAAATTTCTATTGTTTTCAGTATTTTACAATCTTTAATAATATTGTACTTTTGTTGTGTTTCATTCATGAGTTTGTTCAGTGTCCTGAGCACCTCAGTGAGGGAACAGGAGATTTAAAAATAAAAATGTTACTGTTACAAAGCATCCATATTGGAGTGCAACAGAGAAAAACAAAGTAAAAATATCCAATATTTCACTGCCAACAATGAACTGTATCAGCTGCCTGCTGCCAATTAGGCTTGCTAGCACAGCAGGGGTCTGTTGGTGAAATGCTGACTAGATTAATTGCTGGATTGCTGGCACCAGCTGCAGGGCTTCTGGTTTCCTGGGACATAGTTTTAACGCCATAGTTTTAATGTTGGGTACTGGAAGAGGTTTGTCCACCCCATCACTCTCCTACAACTTTATTAGAACCTATCTTCCCGAGAGAAGTGTTGCCAAGGATACAGAGATAACTACAGTAGTTACTTTTTTGGAAAAGTGCCTAGGAATCTTGACCTTTCATCACAGATGGGCTGAAGTTTAACCTCTCACATCCAAGTGACACATACAGCACAACATAGTGGGCCTGATCCAAAGCCCATTCAAGGAAAGATTCCTACTGACTACAGTGAGGTGTGGATCAGGCCTTAGAACTACACAAAACTCATGATTCAGTTCACACACGTTTACTGCAAAATCAGAGAATTCAGGGGGGAAATGGCAATTGGGAACTACATGCTATTTTAATGAAATTGCACCAGTACAAAACAGCAACAAATTTGCCTAGCCGTAGTTTGACTTTAATATTTGGGGGAGTTGGGGGAGGGCTCCAGTCAGGCCAATGGGCCACACGTGGGGGGAGGGCAAATTCCACGCCTGCCTAAGGCTTGCAATTTGGGGGGACAATGCCCCCTGCTCTCTCCCCCAAACTATGCCCATGACAATTTGCCCTAAATTTGCTCCCTTGCCTGGCAGAAAAGTGGTTTTCAAGCCTTGCATACCACAACCCAAAGAAAAAAATATTCTGGGATGGCAGTGTATTCCCTTCCTAGAATAGAATTTCATTACTGCCTATATTCCATGATCTACACCAGCGGTTCTCAAACTTCATTGCACCCCCAACCCCCTTCTGACAACAAAGGATGACCCAAGGAGGGGGGAACCAAAGCCTGACCCTGCCTGAACCCCACTGCCCCGGGTGGGGTGGGGGCAAAGCTGAAGCCCAACAGCTTGAACCCCAAGCAGGGGGCCCATAACCCTGAGCCCCAACACCAAGGACTGAAGCCCTCAGGCTTCGGCTTCAGCCCTGGGAGGTGGGGCTTGGGCTTCGGGGCTGGTCAATGGGGCTTGGGCTTCGGCCCCAGGCTCCAGCAAGTCTAACTTCAGCCCTGGTGACCCCATTAAAATGGGGTCATGACCCACTTTGGGGTCCAGACCCACAGTTTGAGAACTGCTGATCTACACGTTGCCTAATGATAAAGTCCTGGCTGCTTAGTGAGACAGTAAAACTGCATCTGTGAGGCATTGTTTTAGCCAATGTGAAGAGAATAAAGGAGCCTTTAAGATTACTAATAAGATAACCCATTGGATATCTCCTCACTGAAATACTAGTAGAACTAGTACTTTGTGCTGATTGTAAGATTGTGTGTGTATCTGTGCAAGTTATTTTGATGCTAAATTCAGGAACCTCTTGTGAGGTGACATTGACTTGAGAGTGATATACCCTTGTCCCATACAACGTCACAAGTCAAACTTGTAATAAAACTTACAGTGTTCTCACATTAAAGCAACACTGTATTCACACAACGTGGGAGAAAAGAATTCACACACTTCCTGAGGGAATTCACAGAGGGTTCTGCAAAGCATCTAAGCACTTCCACAGAAATTCCACAGAGACTTGTGCAGCACACACAGCTGCTATTGCTGTATATACATCGAGAATTTGACACCTTTTCAAATCTTTGTAATATTTTTCCCTCCTATATAAAATATGGACTTGAAATACCTAAGTTTTCTTCCTGCTGCTTGTGATTTAGAGAGCCACTAAGGGCTTAATTACGGTTGAAAGCTGTAGCCCACAGTAGGGGAAAGGGCAGAGGGCCAATCTGCAGAAGGAATTCCCGGAGCTCACTTGTGTGAGGGCAGCAGAGGAGCACAGCTTCTGTGCCACTGTGGCTGGATCACTGTTTCTTGAGTGCCCTCTCTTGGCCTGGGGTGGCTCTCCAGCAGCTCTGACTCAGTTTCCTCTCCTCAGGGCTTCTCAGATAAACCCCCCACAGCCTGGTTTAGCTACTCCAATGGCTTAGCCCGAGTCATTTTACAATAATCCCCCCCTTCTGGGGTATACCAGTCCAAAAACAACAAACACAAAAATCCACCACAGAGTAGTCTACAGCCCAGTCTCAAGCTGGGCCCAGCTCCTGCATCCTGAGGGTCTGCTTCTCAGACACACTTCTGAAATCCCTCTAGCTCAGTGTTCAGTCTTTCCTGAGCTTTTTTCAGTCTCTGTCCCCCTCAGACCCACCTAGACTCCTTCAAGGGGCCACTGGATCTTTTGCTGCATCTCCCATGTTTTCCTTCTTGGAGTCTTTCTGCTCTTCCTTCCCTGCAACAAACTTTCCCTAGGCCTCCTATCTTTCACTAGGAGGCCTAATTAAAGCACCTCACCTGCAAGTTACATGACCTTTCTGCTTCTCCTCATCTGGGGAAGCAAGCTAATTGTGTCACAGATGGGGGTGGGTCCATCTCTGCTTAAAGGGGCCAGCCACCCTGTGACAGCTATCCTTTCACAGGTTGCAGGGTACACTTTTTTCCTATTTGAGGCCAGCTCTGCTAACCAGTGTGCGTGATGAGGCCATACAAAAGACCATGGGGTGGTAATACCTGCAGTAGCACTAACTTGAAGCAGGTCTTTCACTTGGAGAAGTGCAAGGAATGCCATTTGCTTAGCCCTCTGGCACAGTCGCCAGACTGACTGAAGAATGTTTTTATGCTGTCTCCCCCTTAAGGGCTGGGGACAACTGAACCCTAAATGATTATGTAACTGAATCTATACTGATGGAACAATAGGCAAGTAAAGATGGAAAACAAGAAACTTTGCACTGTTTGAGGAAATAACCAATCCAGATAAAGAGTTTTTTAAAAGGCACTTACTAGGAACATAAGGAGGGTAGTTGAGGTCATTAAGAGCACAGCCTGGGTACTGGCCAGTTCCAAAATTGGCTGGTTCATTCATATCCTTAAATAAAAAGTTTTACATATGTACAAGTTGTCTTCTTTATTTTGGAAAAAAGAGAAGGAAAATATACTCAGACATACAATCCAGAGTCCGTCATAGTCAAGGACAGTTTTGAACTCAATACACATCTGGATCCACCAATCAGCTGTCCTGGGGTTAGTGTAGTCAGGAAACACCGAATCTCCTGGGGGCCATGCCTGGAATTGACCGTAAGTATTTGATTAACATATTATGACTTCTGATTTTGAAGAGTCGCTAACACTGAAAAACAACACTGCTACCTACATATAGGCTAATTTAATAAACCAACCTTGCCAACAGCTGGAGTTACTCCATCAGAATTGTTCACCCAGATTCCCATTTCTTGTCCAAGTTCATAGGGCCAATAAGTACCTGGTGCTTCATCCTTACTTAGGAAAGGATCCTAAAAAAAAAGGTATTCCTAGAATAATCATAAGCACTATGGTAACAGCTACTTTCATTACTACTTTTCAGAATAATTTGGCAGATATAGCTAATGTAGATTGTATTAATATTAGATTAAAACTACATTAAAATGGAGTTAAAGTTGAGAGTACCTCTCAGTACAAAACCAAACATTATGATCCCTGGAATTTCAGAGTGAATGGACATCATCCAATACATTTAAGAAATGTCAGTGCTTGTGATTCTATATTAGATTAAACTGATTTTAAAGAAGCATTATAATTTTTCTCTTTCCCCCTGACCCCCATCAGGGTGTCACTATTTGGCAGAGATAAGCTTGTTTGGGTACCCAGTTGTGCCTTTCCTTAATACAACACCTTAATATGTTTGCATTTTTTTAAGTTCAACATTAAATCTGAATTTCCTGACTTTATAACACTTGATTCTGGGATAATTACAATAGCCCTGTAACATATTTTACCCTAAATTGCTGATATATATTCTCAACCTTAACTCCACTTTAACATAAATTTTGTCTGGGAATTTCCATTTCATTAAGAGTTTCATTCATGAACACTAAACAAGAAATTCAAAGGGAATGTTACTATGTAATATTTCCAGTGATTTGAAGATATGAGGTATCAATCATTTTTTAAATGCTCACTTCAGATTCACCAGTACACTCTGGCTTCTTTATGCCATGCTGGAGAGTTCAAAGAAACCAGGAGTGTACATCTCAGTGCCACTTCTGTCCTCCAAATATCTCTGCTTCTTGCACCTCCTTACATTCCCCCTGCACATACACTCTAGCCCAGTCGCTCCTCCCTCCTGTACTTCAAATTTCTCTGTATACACATACACACACATACACACACACACACACACACACACACACACATATACACACACACATATCCCCTTCCCCTGCCCTTCTACACCCCATATATTCCTTTGTATACATATACAACGCACACTTAAACACACACGTTTTTCATTTCCTCCTGCCCTACCTTTCAAAATGGTAACCATCTCCCATTGTTTTAATGGATGAAATGCATAGCTTCCCTCAGTTGCAAGACCTCTTTCAAATGGCCACTGTTTCCCATTTTTTCAAAGGTTTCAGAGTAGCAGCCGTGTTAGTCTGTATTCACAAAAAGAAAAGGAGTACTTGTGGCACCTTAGAGACTAACAAATTTATTTGAGCATAAGCTTTCGTGAGCTACAGCTCACTAAATGCATCCAATGAAGTGAGCTGTAGCTCATGAAAGCTTATGCACAAATAAATTTGTTAGGCTCTAAGGTGGTACAAGTACTCCATTTTTTCCAAGAGGGTGAAGCGAAGCTGCCTTTAGAGAAGATGGTGGCCCACTATGTTGTCAGGAACACTGAGGACCAGGAAAATGGAGAAAGTAGCCATCTTTGCTCAGGCAGTCAGCGGCCTCAGTCCAGTTGAGAGTAAAAGGAGATAGATGATCTTTTCAATTCTTCCTTATGTGGGGGCAACTGTCCCCTCAATAACATTGAGGAAAAATGGAAGGTTACAGCCATTTTGAAATGTGACGGTTCTTTGTGAGTTCTCTGTAATAGAACAATATTCTTCAGACTCTGCTGAAGGAGCAATTTTTAGTTATGAAGAATAACAGGAAAAAATTATTTATTAGTTCTAGAAACAATTCTTCAAATGTAGACTACTGTACATTATTTCAGTGAGTTTTAATTATACGGGAAGTTTGAAGAATCTGTGATATTCCATTATTAAGATCATGAGGGACAAAAAAAAAAGGTTTGATACCAACTGTAAATTTCTCAAAAGGCTTCTGTGATTGGGTGTACCTAGCCCTTTCAAGCCCCCTGCTAGAGGCCCTGCTGGCTTACCACATTCCACGCTAGGAAGGAGCAGTAGAGGTGAGCCTGCCAAGAGATGTTGCATACAAGCAGCCAATCAGAGCTCAGCAGGCTCAGATAAAAGGAGCTTCAGGGCATTAGCAGGTCAGTTCCTGGAGGGACCAGAGGAGCAAGGAAGGGTGCTCAGTGCTGGTCACAGGAGCTCAAGAAGAGAACCAGAAGATAGGCTCTGGTGATACTTGCATTCATCAAGGAGGAAGAATTTAAGAACTTCAGCCATTAGGTCAGGGTGAAGAGAAAGAGGCTACGTGGGAAAAGGCCCAGGGAATAGCAACAGCAAACTGAAGGAAGCAATGTGTGGCTGTTGTGTGTAGGGTCTCTGGGCTGGGGCCCAGAGTAGTGAACAGGCCAAGATCCTCCTCACTGGCCTACTAGTGAAGTGGCCTAAGTGCCAAGAAGGGGACAAGGCTCTGTTGGGAAGCCCAAGTGAAGGGCAAGACTTAAAGGAGCCCAGAGATGGGGCTGAAGACCTTGGGGAGGGCAGTGTGTTGAAGCCTTTGCTACCCCAGGAGGGGTTCATCCATTTTAAACTGTCTGGGTTGGCCAGAGTGCTGAGCCAATGACGACCCACCTAGTGAGGTCAACAACCTGCAGGGCTGTGCTGGGGGCAGGAGAGCTTGCAGCACCACACCCAGCTGACAGAGGCACTCACAAGAGGCGGCGCCTATCACATCTTCTTTTAAAATTAATTTGAACTCCTACTTTAACAGATTTACTTGCAAATTCTTGAAAAAGTCATTCTGTGCTCAAAAAGCCAATGCTGCAATTTTGGCGAGAACAAACTGGATTTTTCCGTGTAAAACAAACAGGCTGAATCCCTATTTTAAGTGCAAAACTCAATTCAGTCTTTACCATGGAGCTGCAACTGGTGCCTGAATAATTAAGTAAAGTAAGTGTTAATTAGAATTTTAACCTACTTAAGTAGTTCAGCTTTGAAAAAGAGAACTGTCCATCTGCAGTAATTATTTTTTAATCCTGGAAAAGATGGTTCCCAAGAGATACCAAAGCTCTAACAAGTTGGCTTAATGAGCTACTCCTAATAAAAATCTCTGATTTCTTTTAGCTGAAAAGTTATTCCAGTGTATAAATCTACTATATAATGCAGCTTTAACATCATCCTAAGGAGAACAAAAACTGCCATACCTGATTCTGCATTCAATAAAAAGTTTTTTTAGTACCCGTTAACTCTTCTGACACTATAGCTTTTAGTTGTTCATTTAGGGACTGGTTCTGGGAGGTGCTATGCACTTTCAAATTTCATTGGCTTCAGTGAGAGTTGTCGGTAATCAGCACCTCCCAAAATCAGGCCACACTTATCTATGTGCCCAAAAATGGATTTGGGGCCCAATTGTATGCACCCACATTTGAAAAGTTAAGCCTCAGCACCTCACAAAACTGGATCCTTAGCTGCTAAAATAATTGAATATTATTTTTAACCCTGAAGTCTAGCTAATCAAAAAATGTTAAATGATTTTAAATGACTTAAATGACTGCTTCTTGGAGCAGCTAGTCCTGGAACCCACAAGAGGAGAAGTGATTCTTGATTTCGTCCTAAGTGCAGCACAGGATCTGGTCCAAGAGGTGAATATAGCTGGACCACTTGGTAATAGTGACCATAATATAATTAAATTTAACATCCCTGTGGCAGGGAAAACACCACAGCAGCCCAACACTGTAGCATTTAATTCCAGAAAGGGGAACTACACAAAAATGAGGAGGTTAGTTAAACAGAAATTAAAAGTTACAGCACCAAAGTAAAATCTGTGCAAGCTGCAGGAAAACTTTTTAAAGACACCATAATAGAGGCTCAACTTAAATGTATACCCCCAAATTAAAAAACATAGTATGAGAACCAAAAAAGAGCCACCATGGCTAAACAACAAAGTAAAAGAAGCAGGGAGAGGCAAAAAAGCATCCTTTAAAAAGTGGAAGTTAAATCCTAGTGAGGAAAGCAGAAAGGAGCATAAACTCGGGCAAATAAAGTGTAAAAATATAATTAGGAAGGCCAAAAAAGAATTTAAAGTACAGTTAGCCAAAGATTCAAAAAGTAATAGCAAACATTTTTTTAAGTACATCAGAAGCAGGAAGGCTGCTAAACAGCCAGTGGGGCCACTGGACAATCAAGATGCTAAAGGAGCACTCAAGGACGATAAGGCCATTGCAGAGAAACTAAATGAATTATTTGCATCAGTCTTCACAGTTGAGGATGTGAGGAAGATTCCCAAACCTGAACCATTCTTTTTAGGTGACAAATCTGAGGAACTGTCCCAGATTGAGGTGTCATTAGAGGAGGTTTTGGAACAAATACATAAACTAAACAGTAATAAATCACCAGGACCAGATGGTATTCACCCAAGAGTTCTGAAGGAACTCAAATGTGAAATTGCAGGACTACTAACTGCAGCCTGTAACCTATCATTTAAATCAGCTTCTGTACCAAATGACTGGAGGATAGCTAATGTGATGCTAATCTTTAAAAAGGGCTCCAGAGGTGACCCTGGCAATTACAGGTCAGTAAGCCTAACTTCAGTACTGGGCAAACTGGTTGAAAGAACATATAGTAAAGAACAAAATGATCAGACAAATAGATTAACATAATTTGTTGGGGAAGAGTCAACATGGTTTTAGTAAAGGGAAATCGTGCCTCACCAATCTACTAGAATTCTTTGAGGGGGTCAACAAGCATGTGGACAAAGGGGTTCCAGTGGATATAGTGTATTTAGATTTTCAGAAAGGCTTTGATAAGGTCCGTCACCAAAGGTTCTTAAGCAAAGTAAGCAGTCATGGGATAAGAAGGAAGGTTCTCTCATGGATCGGTAACTAATTAAAAGATAGAAAACAAAGGGTAGGAATAAATGGCCAGTTTTCAGAATGGAGAGAGGTAAATAGTGGTGTCCCACAGGGGTCTGTACTGGGACCAGTCCTATTTAACATAGTCATAAATGATCTGGAAAATGGGGTAAACAGTGAGGTGGCAAAATTTGCAGATGATACAAAACTACTCAAGAGAGTTAAGTCCTAGGCAGACTGCGAAGAGCTACAAAAGGATCTCTCAAAACTGGGTGACTGGGCAACAAAATGACAGATGAAATT